ACGTGTCCGTCATCACCAAGATTGTCTTGGCTTGGGAACTTAGGTACGTAAGGGGAAGGTCATGGACTGAGCACCCCACTTGCCCGATCAAAGATTAGCCTCTACTAATCATGATGTGATTTTTATTTACATTATATGTTATTATTCCGATTATTAGGCTAACATTACTATGTGTTGCACACAAGTATAGACTAACTTGCAAAAATTGGAACACTTTGATCTCATGATTATTTTGAAAATTGTTTTGAATATGTGCAATTTGAAAAAGTGATCTCATATGCACATTGATCAAATCATCTCAATTCAAGCAATTAGCCTTCATCCACAAGCATTCAAGAGTTATATCAATTAAGCACTTAGCCTCATGGTAATCATGCTCGACATGGCAACAATCACACGTATGCGATATGCTAAAGCAAATAAAAACTCACCTAGTACTTGAAGGCGAGCCAAAAAAAAAAGAAACTAGTTAGAAAATGCATGATCCTAACTAATGAAAGATGCCTACTGCAACACATGCAAAAATACAATTAATAGGCTCGGCTACTAATAATGACATATGAATCAATTTGATAGCATGCAATTTAAACACGTATTCAACGAAGTAATAAATGACAATGCTTGTTAGAATGATGAATCAAGCCTCAATGCATGCAAGACAAGTGGATACAAATCATGGAATATGCTAAATGAAACATGATGTTCTAAATTACCCATTATAAGCAAGTAAATAAAAGGAAGAAAGACGTGGGATTGGAAGACATACACATTTATTACAATTTGCCCTTGCATAGGAGGGTCCGAATGAATGCCTTAGCTAATTACTACGAATTAACTAACTATTACAAACCAAATGAAATAAATTAACTATACTAGCTAATTATTATAACACCATAAATTAACTAATTACTTTAGCTAATTAATTAAGTACAACACAACACTAACTAGCTATTCTAACTAACTAATTAATTAGTTACAAGTCCGTTATTTTAAAAACAACATACTACTATTACACCATTATTTTAACAGATCCCAAGAATCGAGGGATGGTTCATGCATGGATGTGGATTTCCACTCGAAAAGTGACCGTTTTGCTACCGAAATGCCTTTGTTGCACAGTTAGAAAATTGCACTATTTTTCCACCTCAACCTCTGCTTTATTCTGCTGGAAAATGGACATTGCCTGGCTGGAATGGAAGAAATGGCCGGCAGGCCAGAAGTAGTGGCCTTCCGCCCAGTAAAAGTGGCCTGCCGCCCACTAATGTTGGTTATTTCCTGCAGCAACAGAGAACAAACAGAGCATTCTCAAGGGATGTCTGTCAACCCTACCTCTCCTTATTAGCAAACTGGTCAAACGAGGGGTAGGCTTGATTCCCAAGCCATCAATCGACGTAATTTCATTGCGTGATGACTTATGAACCAAGGGATACAATTTCAATAAATAGTAAGGAAAGACCAACAAAACCTCCTCCCTATTACGGATTGATCAAGGGAAGTGGTTGACCTTGGAAACTTGAACCATTTCATCACTAACAAGTATGAAATGACCTAAGTCTCCATGTATTCAATTAACATCCGATTGAACACCAAATCATTTTATTATCTTGGTTCATTTTATCATAATTTTTATTACTCCATTTTAATTATCTTCCATTCATTAGTCAATTAAGTCAAATAATGAGTTTTGAGTCCATTAATGGAGAGAAGTACCAAACCAAATGTTATTTTAGGCATGAGAAGGAGATCATGTTGTTGGTAATGAACCCCCAAAGGGATTAAACCATTAAGCACAATATCACTCTTTTGAGCTTAAACAACACTCCTTCTAGAGCAACTCTCAAAACAAAGAGAAAAAGCCAAGAAAGGAGGGAGATTGCAGAGGTGCTTAGAGGTGAACACAAGTATGGAACGCAAAAAGTAAAGGCTATCAACTCAAATAGGTTGGTGGCTAAGACCTAAACCACCAAGCCTATGAGGATTACACTACAAGCATACAATACAAAGCATTAATGAAGCTAACTCATAAAAATAGTCCTAAACAGTCAAAAAAAGTGCTGCAACGAAGACAAAAAACTACAATAACAAGCTAAAATATTAAGGGATTAAGACTAGCACACAAGTACAAGAAATGAGAGGCTAACCATTCCATTTTTGGGACTTCAAAACATGATTTTAGCCTATGAAAACCTCTGAAAATCAGTGATAAAAAGCTCAAAAAAAAAAAAGTTGATGAGAATATGGAAAACACAAGGGCAAAGGCCTAAGAAGTAAGGTTCGAAGAAGGGTTGTCAACCCCTCTACCTTTAATGGCTTTAAATCACAAGTTTTAGCCCAAATATACAGGTAATAAACAACTCAAAAATAGCAAGAAAAGATGAGAAAAAGATAGTACAAAAGAACTAGAATGCATACCTCCTGAGGAAGAATGATCCCTTGAATTTCTAAACCACTAATTCCGCACTCTTAAGTGCTAAAATGCAAGCTTAATCACCTCAGCAAAGATCCCTCAAAATTTGGTTTTGAGTGTCTAGGCAAAGGTTATGTAAATTGCAAGAGAGAGAGAGAGAGAGAGAGAGAGAGAGAGAGAGAGAGAAAGAGAGAATTGTAGAGACAAAGAAATTTTCTAAAGTCAAAATTTTTTCTAACCCCTACAACATAAGAAAGGGTCATCTATATATAGAAAAATATGAGAGACCTTAAGAAATATCTATACAAACACAGCTGGAATGGTGCATGCATCTGTGGAGACAGCTGGCAGAAAATATCTGGGTTTTACACTAGTGGTCGGCAGGCCACACTTGTGGGTCTGAAGGTCCTTGGATGCTCAGGCTTGAAAAATCACTATTTTGGTCCAAAACAAGGCACAAGGTTTGCAGGTTCAAACTGAGGTTTCATGTTGAGGAAATTAAGCATTTGACAAGCATACATATTCATTATTGAGTGATCAATCAGTGGCGTCCAAGTCTCAAAGGCAGTAAAAATAGAGTGTCTACGGTTGTCCCTTTTTGATAGAGCTCAGAGTCATGAAATGACATGAGTGAATATCAAAGCCCGAAGACGACCCATTTTGATAAGCCCGTAAAACTTAGGCAAGCAATCAAGACATAAATTAAATTGGTTAAGCTCGCAAGTTGCCTACAAACCCCTTGCAACGAATCAAACCACCGTAGTTCAGGGGCAGGATGCAAATGATATACACGAAAAATACTCTAAAAGCTGGACTTACACACTTCGCGAAGCCGGATATTTGAAAAATTCATGATCATGCAAGATGATGCACTAAGCAATAACAAGATAACAGCATATGAATGAGCTTCAAGCTTAAATCAAAATGGGTTCCACATGGAAAGAACTGAAAACACTCACTCTAACCATGCCGCGGTCATGAAAATAGGAGAGAAAAACTGCTCAGGGTCGCGTTTCACGTGTCCTAAGATACCCTAATCACGCGAAAATTATGAGAAAATAAGAAAAACTGCTCAGGATCACGTTTCACGCATCCTGAGATACTCTAATCATGTTGAAATCGTGAGAAAATGAGAAAAATCGCTCAGGGTCGCATTTCACGCGTCCTGAGATACTCTAATCATGCAGAAATTATGAGAAGAGGAGAAAACCACTCAGGGTCGCGTTTCATGCTTCCTGAGATACTCTAATCACGCGAAAATCGTGAAAAGAGGGGAAAAACCGCTCAGTGTCGCGTTTCACGCGTCTTGAGATACTCTAATCATGCGGAAATCGTGAGAAGAGGAGAAAAACTACTCAGGGTCGCGTTTCACGCGTCCTGAGATACTCTAATCACGCTGAAAATCGTGAGAAGATGAGAAAAACCGCTCAGGGTTATGTTTCACGCGTCCTGAAATAGATGCAAAAAGTATGAGATTGTACGATAGATACACAATGTAGTAAAGATGTGCGATAGATGCACGAAGTGAACAAGTGCAATAGATGCACAAAGTGAACAAGATTGTAAATCAATAACATGACAACGCATGTTTTATGCAAGATCATAGACGATCGACATATGATATTAATTGAAAGCATGTTCTATGCAAGAAACAAGATCATGTTTTATGCAAAATTGAAGGCTTGTGCTATGTAAGCATGTGAATCATGAACGATGCAAAGCACGCATGAAATATAAGTGTATGTGAAAATGCACGTTCTATGCAACAAAAGAAAATAAATATGTAACTTGACAAAATGAACAAAAGCGATGTTCGGCAATAACCTCCGACTTACCCCTCGGAGACTTTGCAACTTGCTCAAAAAGGATACACCTTGTTCATATTGGCAAGTGGGGCACATTCGTGCGCCGGAACACAATAGGTATTGGGAATGATGCAATCAGAATACAATTTTGAGCTCCTCAAAAACCAATTTGGACCTAAAAGAGAACCTCCCATACACTATTAGGGCAAAAGAGGAACAAAACCAGCACCAGGCTACAAAAGAGGGCTTCCGGCCACAAAACACACTCCCTGAGATTTACTTAAATTACAAATTATCTCTATAGTTTTAGAAATTACTTTATGCACCCCTAATGTTTCTAATTTCATAACAAATAGGTCCTTTTATTAATAAATCATTAAGTTGATTAACAATTTTTAATAATGTTAAAATTTTATTTCAATTAATAATTCAGATAATTTTATTATTGTATAGATGAACAGTTAGAAAATTTTCTTTTTCAATTAATTCTGTTAAATGAAAAATTCTAACAAGAAGATATTTATAATTTTTCAAATCATAAAAATCAATTTATATTTTAAATAAATCTTAAAAGATGTACTTATAATTTACTCTATTTAAATTTACTTATTAAAATTTTAACGGATTCAAGATCTAACTCAAAATTAATAAAAATTTACCGAGTCAAATACAAACAAGCCTGTATCAAATTGAACTCCAACCAACCTGTTTACGAACTGGCTCACCCAACCCGGCCCATATTTGAGCGAGCACAATTATCAACCCAGACTGACCCCCGAAATCTGTGTTCGAATTCCATGAGCTCTTCTCCTCCACACATCGCGCAACAGAGCGCTCTCTCTCTCTCTCTCTCTCTCTCTCTCTCTCTCTCACTCAGATAGTGAAAATGGTCTCTGTGGTATTTCCACAGACAACTTGTATGCATTTCAGCTTGAACCTTCGAAACGATTCGTTGGCCTCTCTCTCATCTTTATCACCCGACCGTCTTCTTCCCAAAAGGTACGATGTTTCTCTCTACTCGTCAACACTCCCTCTGATTCTCGACAAAATTGAAGTAACACAAACGATATTACACTTGCAATTCTGTATGTATATACACTCACACATTGCTTAAGTAGAAATAATCTTTGAAATTTGACCTCCATTGAACCACACAATTCTTTTTTCAGGTCAATTCAATTATGAAGTTGCATTGAGTTATCTAATTTTTTAATTTTAGAGTGCGTTTGGGTGTTTCATAGCAATTTGACATCTTTATTTTGTTTAATTTAGCTTTTGAAGATTGATATAACTTTAGTCATTTGACAAAGATGGGCTAAGAGTTGAAAACATTGGCATATATTAACTAAAATTTGATTCCATGTCATCAGTAGTGATCATGGTTTCTTTTTCTTTTTCTTTTTTTTACCTTCTGATGCTTGAAAAATCAGCTGTATTTTTAGTTTAATTTATATTGTTTTGATGGTTTTTGTAGTTTGACCATTTTTTTATGAAATTTCTTTTTCTATTATGTGATTCCATTTATCATAATTGTGATAATTTCCAAAATTGGTGAGCTTAATAGTTAGACAATTGAAACTATCTCTTAAATCTTCTACAGTTTTTCGATAGTGTGGTTACTTTTTAGAGAAGCTCTTCCATTTGATATGACATTGGTTCATGGTAATTCATAATAATAATTTTTGTTTTCACTCATTTCTATTGAGAACAAAGAAAATCTTTTACTTCCAGCCATCTTTTCTTGAACAAATTATTCATTTGAGGCTAGTTCAATACACCTTGTTTTGTAAATAGGCAATGCTATTTCACTTTGTCTCTTGAATATATATATTGTTGTAATTGCAATAACCGTTGGTCTTCTTTTTTTTATAGTTTTAATCGACAAAGAGGCAATGATAAAAGTTCTAGACACTGTACAGTAAACTGCAGACTTGCCAGGGTGAAAGAATCTCCTTCCCCGAGCCTAGATACACTGATAAGAGAACCCCACAAATATTTTGATCAAGTCATTGTTACGGTTCGTTCTGGAGATGGAGGCCATGGCGCCATTCTTAGTATGCCTAATCAAAGAACTCCTTCAAAGTCACAAGGAAAACATGAAAAGGAGAAAACAAAGAAGAAAAGTTCATATAAAAGGGATTTTGATGGGTCTCTCATCCTTCCTATGGGTGGGCATGGTGGGGATGTTGTAATTTATGTGGATGAGGGCAAAGACTCGTTATTGGAGTTTCACAAGAAGAGCCGGTTTAATGCAAAGCGTGGGGGAAATGTTGCTGCAATGGGAGTTTTAACATCTCAATTACATAATGGGTTTGCTGCTCCAACATTGCGTATTCCTGTGCCTTTAGGTTTGTATGTTACATTGCTGAGTTATATAAAATAAAGGCTTCTAGCAGGATTTTATGCCTCTTTACAAGCATAGGGCCAGAAATTGTAGTTGAAAATATTCAAGGGTGGTTAATACTTCATAATGGGTACCGCTTCTTTTTCTCAACAGCTATCAAAAGTTTGCAGATAGAGTCAATTCCTTATATGTTTTTTCATTTTTTTTAATCATTGGCAGGTACTGTTGTAAAACTTAAACGGGGCAAGTTTTTGGCTGATTTAGCGCGCCCAGGAGATGAAATTCTTGTTGCAAGGGGTGGACAAGGAGGGGTGAGACATCTGTCCTCTCAAACCTAGTGAAATGCTGTGAAGCACGGGTGCGGGTACGGATACCATACGAGTATGCTGATATGACAAATTCTTAAAAAAGTAGGGTTAGGGTACGAGTACGGTTGGGGTACGTCAAATTTTTTTTGAAATTTTTTTAAAAAAATTTATAGCTAAACATTCAACATACAAACCAAAATTTTAATATCAAAACTAAAAAGAGAATAGTTTGTCTAAAAAGTTATATAATTCTTTATTTTTCATTTTGATTGTCTAAAACAGGATGCAAAAGAGAGAAAACTATGACTTATGGGTGAAGGGTGTTGGAAATAAATTACTTGATGATTTTCGAAGTTGAAAGAAGAATAGTAAAGGTTGCAACAAATTATAACAGTTGCAAAAAAAATTAAAATCTCACTGTACTTGTATCGTACCCACGACGTACCCAAACGTCTTTGCCATACCCAGTACGTGTACCACCGTACCGGTACGGGTACCCGCACCCAATAAGTATCCGATACTCGTACGACACCATTTTTGGAGTACCCGTGCTTCATAGAATGCTGTAGATGATGTTCATGGTATTGGTTACCTAGATTGAAACGTTTAGTAACTCTCTCGACTATGTTTTCTATCCTAAACTTTATATCAATATCTACACTTTCAAGCATGGTTGTTAGAATCTTACAATTCACAATTCGATTCATACGGTTCAATAGGAGTTTCAAGCAAAATAGTACGATTTATGCAGTTGAATCTTAAATTAAGTCAATTGTATGATTCAATTGTGATTCAAATGATTTAGTTTTGTTTGCATAATGTATGAAATGCCGTTTTCACAAAATAAAAAAAATAGATCAGCTAATTGTATTGATATACGTAGTTTTATTTATATATATATTTTTGTTATATTGATATTTATTTCATTTTAAACATTATATGTATTTTAATATACATATATAAAATTATATATTATGGTAAATAAAGTGAATTTTACGATTCATGATTCACTAATTTAGCAAAATTATTCATGATTTTGATTTGCGATTTGACGTCAATGCTTTCAAGTAATAGGAGGCATGTTGGATAAAGATATCAAGGGTTTATTTTTTTGAAATATATTTTGCTTGCATTAGAGATGTTCTGATGTAAAATACACTTTGTTGGTATAGTATGATTTTATGTGTTTGGGCTTGTATACTCAATGCAGATCTGTAATTGGGTTCCTCTTTTACTCGTGGCAGATTAGCTTGGTAGAAATGCCAGAGCATAGAAGAAAAAGAGTAATGGCCTTAACAACAAATGTGCTGAGAGATGAAACTGACAAGGTAAATATCAACAATTCTCATAATATTGCGAGACATGAGCATTCAATTTATTTTCATGAATCAAATTTGAATTTAATTGGCTTGGGAGCCAAAAAATCATTGATCTGCTACTGGCTTGATTTTATTAAGTTAATAAGCTAATTTTGTACTAGTTATTTTCTATTGATAGGCAAATCAATCTGCTAGAGTATAAGCTCCCAAGGCCTCTAGATTGTCTCTCCAAGTTATGTCCAGTCATGGTTTTGATTTTGTGCTGCCTGCAATATGATGTATTTGAAATTACAAGGTTCAGCCATCCAATAAAACATAATAATTCTCAGATATCTTTACTGTAATTTCAAAATTGTTCTTGCAACATATTGACTTGGAGCTGCCAAACAAAGAAGAGTGTGACAGCTAGAAATATATTATTTTTTAATAAATTGAATCATAAAGTATGTATGCTTTTGAAAAAATGAAGTCTAGGTAGGGAAATTCATGAAATGAAGCTAGATTTAGAAATGGCTATTACCCAGTGTTGGTCCACCAATATCAGTTACAGGGATAGGTTCACTGGATACAGACCAACCTTTTGCATTATTTATAGAATGTAGCTCCTCTCCAACTCAAAGCCATGTTCAGAAACTTGGTGGCATATGCTCTTTTACCATTGTACCACCAAGCAATGGTTCTTGAATGTACTTAATTTTCAAGCTGTCATAGGTAAATTTTTGTTACTAAAAGTATCTAATTTCTATGAATGACATTTATATGCACATGAATTAGTAATATGACTTCTGTATAATTCACATACAATTTTTAATGGAAGGACTGATGATGACTAGGAACAATTGGCTACGTCACTAATAATTTTAGCAATATTACTCAAACAACAGTATACCACTACATGCTAGCTATTGATTGTCAGGTAAGATGAACCTTGTACCACCTCAATGGAAAACATTGTCTGACTATCCAGCATAATGTATTTAGGAATGGGGTAAACGTAAACACCATGCCAAAACCTACAATCATATGTAATCCCTTGCTATTGAAGAATTTTCTGATTATAAAGCTTAACATAAGTTTGGGCCTTCAAGAACTAGTTAAAGGCTAGGTATCTTTATGATGATATTCACCTTTCTTATCATGAAAATGTCATTGCCAATGCATTGCAGGTTTTATCTTTTGGTCAGCCAGGGGAGGAGGTTAGTTTGGAGTTAATACTAAGAGTTGTTGCTGATGTTGGTCTTGTCGTAAGTATATATATATATTTTTTCATTTTTCTTTGCCACATATAGATATGTATCATGTAAATGTGTATTATCGGTAGTTGGTTTTGTTATAATTATTCCTTATTTTTTATTTTCCATTGCACATATGCATGTTTTATGTGAATCTGAGGTATCAATATGATTGTATATAGATTGACAGTCATGCCATTGTGACTGCATGTGACCTTCTTTTAAGTTTTAATGGTCTTCATCAGTAATGGTTATGCTTTGGGTCGTATGATCTGTCTGAATTTCACTATTCCAGCATGCTTAAACTGAACCTATCAGTCAACCTTTCTGTCTGGAAGTTTAGCCCTTTGGCAGACTTGGAATTTGTTGTAACTTACTCAACCATCTGAAGCCCCTTGAATGAAGTGTTTAGATCATATAAATAGTGAAGGGTTTTTTAAAATAACTCTGGATAGTCTGAGATTAATTTTTCTCTCTCTATTTGATGAGAAAAAATATTTCATGAAAAAGTCAAGCTACATGACTGAACTGAGGTAACAGAGTATCTAACCAAACCAAACCAAACTACCTTGTGTCCCAATCAATTGGGGCCTTTTTTGCCATTCAGCTCTGTCCAGGGCGTAATAAAAGTATCTACTAAAGGAAAAATGCCTCAAGGAAGGAAGACATCTGCCCTTTGTCCGACAAAATAGAAAGCTCCAAAAACCTCAATTCCATAAAAGTCCCTCCATTCAATGAAAAGACCTATATCCCACAGTATGCAGAGTACCCTGCATGCCAAGCCTCCCACTTCCTTTGAATGAATGGTGTGAGATCCTTTTTCTTCTTCATTGTCAGATTGTCAAATTAATTATCCAGATTTACCCTTTTACCTACTTTCTTTTGTTTGTTTAGGATGTCGTTCAAGAACAAGTTCACAATTTGATTGAGTGAAAAATTATTTACGTATATTGACTTTTTAAGCATTCTAGACCTTTGCTCTTTAAATCACTTGATATTTATGTGTTTATTTTTTTTTTTTTTTCCAGGGACTCCCAAATGCTGGCAAATCAACCCTATTGGCAGCCATAACACTTGCAAAACCTGATATTGCTGATTATCCCTTCACAACCTTAATGCCAAACCTTGGACGCCTCGACGGTGACCCTAGTTTAGGGGCAGGGAAGTATTCATCTGAAGCAACATTGGCAGATCTGCCTGGTCTTATTGAAGGTGCTCATCTGGGGAAGGTAATCCAGATTTTGCATCTTGCTCTATGACATATTTTTAACCTCTAAGTAGCTAGTGCCTTTCTTTGTCATCTGCAGGGTCTTGGTCGCAATTTTTTGCGGCACCTGAGGAGGACTCGCTTGTTGGTACAAGTTGTTGATGCAGCTGCTGAGAATCCTGTGGATGACTACCGCACTGTAAGAGAAGTATGTCTTCACCCAATCATAAACCTTGCAAGTTTACTTTTTCTTTTCAAAAAAATAAAAAATAAAAATTATTGTTGGTCTAGATAAGGTAGGGCTGTTGATGTCATTTCTGCTAATGAATTCATTAGATTATTACACAAGGGTCACTGCTGGATGGATATTTGTCTGCTGTTACATGAACTTAAATTTATTTTTTTACTGGCCAATTTATTTTTTCTTTCCCCCCTTCTTTTGTTCAACATGTGAAGACTAAGTCAACAATGGCCAACTGCATTATACTCACTCCCTCTATTCAACATCTCAAATGGAGATCTAGAAGATCCCTCCATACCCACACACACACACACAATAGAAACCAATTATTTCCTAAAACTCTCTTGCTTCAGTATCCCATTGATAGAACTATCTTCTTTCTTTTTTTGAAGAAGATGAGAAGAAGTTACATCATTAATCTCTGGGTACAGTTTTAGTTCTTTCTGTTTGTGTTAAAATGTACCAAAACCTACCACTACACCTACTCCACCCACTTCACCTACTCCACCTACTACTCCCACCTACTACATACCTACCCCCTCAAATCTTCTATATATAGGACTCATTGTAAACACAATATATATCAATCAATAATACAATTCTCTATTTCTTTATACATCAATTTTTAACATGGTATCAGAGTAAGGTTAACAACCTAGTCATTCTGCTTCACCGGCGGGCGGCAGCCTCGCCTTGGCCGCCCACCGGACCTCTACACATACCTTCACCCCGCTTATCCAACCCGACCCACCCCTTCCTCCCCACCCTTCTCGGATCCTTCGAGACCCACCAGTTGTTGGGTTGGGCCATCCCCTACTGCCCCGGCGGCGACCTCACTGTTCTCCGCTATCGTCAGACCGACCACGTCTTCTCTCCTTCAGTCATTCGGTTCTACCTCGCTGAGATCGTCTGCGCTCTCGAAAACCTCCATAGCATGGGCATCGTGTACCGCGACCTCAAGCCAGAGACAGTTTTGATCCAACAGTCTGCCCACATAAGCACGCATGCACCGCCAAGTAACAACGAACTGGTACGCGGTTTGTATGCCCATGCAATCCATGGATCCAGCTCTTCAGCAGAAACTAATGACCTCACATCACCATTTTCCTGTGCAGTGCGATCCTTTCTTCGAGCCCTTCTATCACCATTAAGCTCCATAGACCCAGTGTTAAAGAAATCCCACTTGCCTACTGCAGAGTAGAAGAGGCTGACAAGCGAAGGCTGTCCATCCGATTAGGTGACGAGAAGATCGTGGCCGTCGGATCGGAGAGAGACTGTGACCTCAGAGAGCGACGGAGGGAAGAGTTGAGTGTTTACTGTTCCTCTCTCTCTCCTTTGATGGCGAAGGTGAAGCAGCTTCTCTCTCTCCACCATCTCTTCCCCAGAACCCACCGTCTCTTTCCCAAAACCCACCGTTTCTTTCCGAAAATTGCAGATCGAACACAAACCCCTTTTCTTTTCTCTCTCTCCCTTTACACTCTCTCTTTTTCTTTCTTTTTCTTTTAATATTTCCCTCCACTACCTTTTGTCTTTCAAATAAAGCCACCACCTTACACCACACCACTTTTTCTTTTTTTTTTATTCGTTTTATTCTTACTCACCTACTCCACTAAACCTAACCCACTACACCACTACCACCTCACCTACTCCACTAAACCTAACCCACTACACCACTACCACCTCACCTACTCCACTAAACCTAACCCACTACACCACTACCACCTCACCTACTCCACTAAACCTAACCCACTACACCACTACCACCTCACCTACTCCACTAAACCTAACCCACTACACCACTACCACCTCACCTACTCCACTAAACCTAACCCACTACACCACTACCACCTCACCTACTCCACTAAACCTAACCCACTACACCACTACCACCTCACCTACTCCACTAAACCTAACCCACTACACCACTACCACCTCACCTACTCCACTAAACCTAACCCACTACACCACTACCACCTCACCTACTCCACTAAACCTAACCCACTACACCACTACCACCTCACCTACTCCACTAAACCTAACCCACTACACCACTACCACCTCACCTACTCCACTAAACCTAACCCACTACACCACTACCACCTCACCTACTCCACTAAACCTAACCCACTACACCACTACCACCTCACCTACTCCACTAAACCTAACCCACTACACCACTACCACCTCACCTACTCCACTAAACCTAACCCACTACACCACTACCACCTCACCTACTCCACTAAACCTAACCCACTACACCACTACCACCTCACCTACTCCACTAAACCTAACCCACTACACCACTACCACCTCACCTACTCCACTAAACCTAACCCACTACACCACTACCACCTCACCTACTCCACTAAACCTAACCCACTACACCACTACCACCTCACCTACTCCACTAAACCTAACCCACTACACCACTACCACCTCACCTACTCCACTAAACCTAACCCACTACACCACTACCACCTCACCTACTCCACTAAACCTAACCCACTACACCACTACCACCTCACCTACTCCACTAAACCTAACCCACTACACCACTACCACCTCACCTACTCCACTAAACCTAACCCACTACACCACTACCACCTCACCTACTCCACTAAACCTAACCCACTACACCACTACCACCTCACCTACTCCACTAAACCTAACCCACTACACCACTACCACCTCACCTACTCCACTAAACCTAACCCACTACACCACTACCACCTCACCTACTCCACTAAACCTAACCCACTACACCACTACCACCTCACCTACTCCACTAAACCTAACCCACTACACCACTACCACCTCACCTACTCCACTAAACCTAACCCACTACACCACTACCACCTCACCTACTCCACTAAACCTAACCCACTACACCACTACCACCTCACCTACTCCACTAAACCTAACCCACTACACCACTACCACCTCACCTACTCCACTAAACCTAACCCACTACACCACTACCACCTCACCTACTCCACTAAACCTAACCCACTACACCACTACCACCTCACCTACTCCACTAAACCTAACCCACTACACCACTACCACCTCACCTACTCCACTAAACCTAACCCACTACACCACTACCACCTCACCTACTCCACTAAACCTAACCCACTACACCACTACCACCTCACCTACTCCACTAAACCTAACCCACTACACCACTACCACCTCACCTACTCCACTAAACCTAACCCACTACACCACTACCACCTCACCTACTCCACTAAACCTAACCCACTACACCACTACCACCTCACCTACTCCACTAAACCTAACCCACTACACCACTACCACCTCACCTACTCCACTAAACCTAACCCACTACACCACTACCACCTCACCTACTCCACTAAACCTAACCCACTACACCACTACCACCTCACCTACTCCACTAAACCTAACCCACTACACCACTACCACCTCACCTACTCCACTAAACCTAACCCACTACACCACTACCACCTCACCTACTCCACTAAACCTAACCCACTACACCACTACCACCTCACCTACTCCACTAAACCTAACCCACTACACCACTACCACCTCACCTACTCCACTAAACCTAACCCACTACACCACTACCACCTCACCTACTCCACTAAACCTAACCCACTACACCACTACCACCTCACCTACTCCACTAAACCTAACCCACTACACCACTACCACCTCACCTACTCCACTAAACCTAACCCACTACACCACTACCACCTCACCTACTCCACTAAACCTAACCCACTACACCACTACCACCTCACCTACTCCACTAAACCTAACCCACTACACCACTACCACCTCACCTACTCCACTAAACCTAACCCACTACACCACTACCACCTCACCTACTCCACTAAACCTAACCCACTACACCACTACCACCTCACCTACTCCACTAAACCTAACCCACTACACCACTACCACCTCACCTACTCCACTAAACCTAACCCACTACACCACTACCACCTCACCTACTCCACTAAACCTAACCCACTACACCACTACCACCTCACCTACTCCACTAAACCTAACCCACTACACCACTACCACCTCACCTACTCCACTAAACCTAACCCACTACACCACTACCACCTCACCTACTCCACTAAACCTAACCCACTACACCACTACCACCTCACCTACTCCACTAAACCTAACCCACTACACCACTACCACCTCACCTACTCCACTAAACCTAACCCACTACACCACTACCACCTCACCTACTCCACTAAACCTAACCCACTACACCACTACCACCTCACCTACTCCACTAAACCTAACCCACTACACCACTACCACCTCACCTACTCCACTAAACCTAACCCACTACACCACTACCACCTCACCTACTCCACTAAACCTAACCCACTACACCACTACCACCTCACCTACTCCACTAAACCTAACCCACTACACCACTACCACCTCACCTACTCCACTAAACCTAACCCACTACACCACTACCACCTCACCTACTCCACTAAACCTAACCCACTACACCACTACCACCTCACCTACTCCACTAAACCTAACCCACTACACCACTACCACCTCACCTACTCCACTAAACCTAACCCACTACACCACTACCACCTCACCTACTCCACTAAACCTAACCCACTACACCACTACCACCTCACCTACTCCACTAAACCTAACCCACTACACCACTACCACCTCACCTACTCCACTAAACCTAACCCACTACACCACTACCACCTCACCTACTCCACTAAACCTAACCCACTACACCACTACCACCTCACCTACTCCACTAAACCTAACCCACTACACCACTACCACCTCACCTACTCCACTAAACCTAACCCACTACACCACTACCACCTCACCTACTCCACTAAACCTAACCCACTACACCACTACCACCTCACCTACTCCACTAAACCTAACCCACTACACCACTACCACCTCACCTACTCCACTAAACCTAACCCACTACACCACTACCACCTCACCTACTCCACTAAACCTAACCCACTACACCACTACCACCTCACCTACTCCACTAAACCTAACCCACT